AAATATTCTTCACTTTTAAAAACTTTCCATAGAGGATGAAAATTTGGCGTCCTCCAGCCCTGAACAAACTCGGACTAGACCTCATTCGTAAGAGTGTATTAAGTATTGACGGCGGAAGATTTTTTGTGTTTTAAAGGAGCATAGCGATGGCACGTACGAGCACTCCGATGTATATTTTAGACCATCAATCGCAGCAGATTGCCGTGACGCTCGTGCAGGTGACCAACTAACACTCGAATCGATTCCAAGAGTGCGAAATGTTTTGTTTATTCGTCGTCGTGGATTCATTCTCGATCGATGTCCTATCGGAAATGTTAGAAATGTTCCAAGCAGAAATCTTTTCTCATCACCTCAAAAGCAAGCCGATGACAAAGTTCTGAGCATCTTCACGGATGTACACTCAGTACGACATTTATTACAATGGATCAATGGATTGCGCCATGATTACCAGCTCATATGCACTCGATAAAATGTAATTACTCAACGTTTAGTGCTCGCTTGAAAATGCATTTGTGAAGAAGTTTTTTTGACTTAATGAGCTTATATGTCATTGTTTTCATCTGCAAAATCAAGCTATCATCCGCAACCCAACACTTCAGCGATCTTATTTTTCGTTACCAAAAAATTTTTTGCTTTCAAAATTTTCACTTTTCTTTCTTAAAAGCCTTTCTCCTCAATCATTTTTCAATTTCTCTTGTTGCTTACAATCATTAAACGTAATCAATTTTTATTTACTGCCTATTCTTTTTCACGGCAGGGTGTTATGTGAAATGGAACCAGAATGGTGCTGATATAACTTGTATAATGCTGAGATATTTGCAAAACTCCGGATCGCAGTTGTATGCGGTGGGGAACGAGCGCGCTATTATCCTTTCCGGGGAGTAACGCGTTCATCACCACACCATGCGGGTTCTTCGTTTCGCCTGTCTCTCAGCTAGTTCTATCGATCTTTCGCCATCAGCAATCACACGTCAAGGGGAATGATCTAGACAGCCCAAATCGGCATTGAACCCAGTTAAGCTGAGACTACAGTCATAATCACAATTCTAACCTTTTATTTAGCTGAGAGACAGGCGAAACGAAGAACTCGCATGGTGTGGTGATGAACGCGTTACTCCCAGGAAAGGAAAATAGCGCGTTCGTTCCCCACCGCAGACACCTGCGGTCGGGAGTTTTAATATCTCAGCATTATACAAGTTATATTTCGCAACATACCCGGCCGTTAAAAAACAATAGGCAGTTAATAAAAAGGTTAAGATGCTGATATATTTCCAAAACACCGGATAGACACCTGCGGTGGGGAACGAACGCGATGTTACCGTTTCCGGGGGCAAACGCGTTCACCACCATTCCATGCAGGTCCTTCGGTTCGCCTTTCTCTCAGCCGTGTTGTTTTTACCGTCTTTTTATGCCCACAGCAGACACCTGCGGTCCGGAATTTTGCAAATATCTCCGCATTATTGTGGTTATAATTAAATGTAATGTTGTCAAATTTCAAAACGGGCGATGTATCGAAAAAGGGAACGACGACTGCCAGTATATATATATTTATATAGTGAATATACATATATATTGTATATATATATAAAACAAGGAGCAGGGGTCGCCGAGGCCAACAATATTCCTAAGTGGATGGATTCGACCGTGCATGATTCCACTGAGCCCCGTTAGTTTTCATATATCGGCTATGTTCACACAACAATTGCAGCTAGCGATAGTCAGATTCTCCGCTACTCCATCTGCATGGTTTCCACTATTCAGCATTGAGGAGGCTTTGTATACGCTAGAACAACGTAGCACGATGCTGTCTATAAAATTCACAACAACTTATGATGCCATGTTGATCACATGCAATATCCATGTGAGAGTTTAAAGTTTCTTGTGGTCCTAACGAGTATGCACCTGTAGAAATTCGTTCTATTGACGACAGTTAGGTGTGATCATAGGCGAAAATAAGCTTCCTCACTGTAGTTGTGAGAAGTGGTCACAACAAACACGACGTTTTCCGTTCCACAAAAATGCTCGAATACACGCGGCTTCCACAGTCCTCAGCAACAGGACTCTGACATATCAAGAAATGAATCCACATCCCTCGAATAACTCATAACCCTGCGCTATCTGATCGCCGCACTCTTCTCTGTCAATAGATTCCTCTCGCAAAAAGAGTTTGCTAACATTGGTTTTCTCAAGTTGAGAATCGAACTACCCATTACCATTGCAGCCGACTTAGTTCCAGAACAGATCTGAATAGTTTATTAAATGGTCATTCAATTATAATGTTCATTGCCTAAATTTCCCTAAATTTAGGCGGTCTTATTGATATAAATTGGAAAAGAAGTGACGATGCTGCTCTTCTAATCAACTCAATTTGTTTTTTGTTCAAATATGCGAATTTTAAACGTACCTGTATTCATGGTTTTTTTTTTGATTTATTGAAGGCTAACATATGTAGTTGGACCCAAACAGTGTTACACTAAATGTAGCAAATAAATAAGCAAAAATGCTAGATGCCTCAAATCGCGTACCATCTTGCACTAACGGGAATAATATATAGATGACCCTCTACTCATTACAATGATACTGAAATAGTAACTGATAAAGTAGTGCACAGTTTTAACTTTTATTTGTTGCCTACTCTTTTATCACGGCAAGGTATGATGAGTAATATAGACACAACGATGCTGAGATAAGAGCAAAACTCGGAGCTTCAGGTGTGCTGCGAACTCCCGACTGCCCTTTATGAGGCTCATTTGCTCGTGCTCCTCACGTGATTGCGACTAAAGATTTAGCAGATTGGACTCGATGCCGGTTTTGTCTCTTAGACCATTCTCGTTGACGAGTGACTGTTGATAGCACTGTTACTTACTTGAATACTTGGACGGCCCGTCCTCAGCGGTTGTGCGGGCCCCAGCATAATCTCCATTTTTCGGAGTTTCTCTGGCTTAGCCATTGTTTCCTGGTGTTCCGAGGTCAGCCTGGCCAAAGTGTGCCCCAGGTCGTCACCACCACAGACCGTCGCCGCTGTTGTGGATCAGAGGGAGATTTGCCACCAAGCAACTAGTTTGATACCAGGACGGTGGTGGATGCTGGTATTGGTTAGCAAATTTAGGGTAAAAAAGCTGGCTGAGAATAAGTTATAGCAAGAGCCTCGATTTTGCAGGAGATAACACGTGCGCAACCGGCGCAATGATAATATCGGCCTTGCATCCTAGCTGAGGTTCCGAGTTTTACTCATATGTCAGCGCCATTGTGACCTTATGAGTCTTTACACTCTCCGAAGCCGAATGTCTTTAATTTTATGGTGAAGTTTCCTTCAGGACTTGTTATTTCCCCTTAAGCAATCATTAGTCATCTGCTTCTCTGCAAACGCTTTGTACATTTCATCATTCCAATTTAGCGCTATTCCATAAATTTTTTCCGTTAAATTGTTTTTCAAAAAAGTTCATTACGTACCGTGTTGGGCGATGAGAGCTGCCCATCCGTGACTACCAATTTCCGTCATTCTCTAACATCTGTGGTCAAGTTAGTTTGCTTTATCTTTTGCGTGCAAAACTTTCATACAGATAGCATTTTTTCTGTTTGTGAATAACCTTTCGAACATCGCTTCGTTAGAAACACATGGGATTCAATCGGAGTTAGGTTGCAATTCTATTCATTCCGTTTATTACTTGGAAAGTCAATCATTCTTTTAAAATCACCCGAGTTTTTCTCAATTCTACAACTTGCTACTTCTTGATTCTTCGCCTTAACTTCTGATGAAAAACTTCTGAGCGAGCCTCTGCACTCGTTCTTGCAGAACAGCGAACTACTAGAAAATGAGAACGCAAGCCATAGCTAAGGAGCAGATCCTGAAACACGTCTTCAGACACTCGCTAATTGTCAGAATCTACGTTGCACTTTATATCATTCTCTGCTAAAAATAAGAGGGATTCTAAACTGAAAGATTTTAATGCCAAACGCATGTGCTACGATAAATTGCATTCCAAATTCTCAGTCTACTCCAACAAACCACACTGTAATCTTTCTATTTGTGGTTCTTATCCATCATTTTAATTGGATGTCAGCTCATGTTGAAATCAGACTTTTTGCCTATAGTTGCTACTTTCGAGGACGGAACTTACTAACTGGTGTCCAGACGCTAACGTGGAAGTGCTCTTTCAAGGAGGTGCACACAGAAACGAGCGTGTTGGCTGAGGAGTGCGACTGTGCTCGGAGACGCAGAAATGTGGGCGGACCCCATGGGGGCATTGCCTCGGACACTCGCACGAAAAGTCCTATATTTCCTACCATTGAAGGACAGAACCCGGTTCGTTGTATTCATATACTCAACTTATTCAAATTCTTTTACGATTAGTGTGCAGCCCAAAAATTAAGATGCCCATTTTTATGAGCTATGGGCGAAGGTGTTGTGAAATTAGGATGGAAACCTCAAAATTCAGTTCACCGTTGACTGTCATAGAACAACACCGAAAATTGTGGTAGGCTTCAATGTCTTTGTCTGGTTTAACAATATTTGCAGCAAACATTTTGTAATTGCGTGTGGTTGAATATAGGATCAGGTAAAAAACGCATTTACGCGTGCTGTGAAAAAAACAAAACAAAAATTACGAGGAACACAAATGCTCACATGAACGGCATACGAATTATTCTTGGAGCTCTCTGTCGCAGCCAGTGAACGCCGGTGCCCCATCTGGCTTCGAAAGACCCATCTGCGCCACCCATGACATCTATTCATCAGTCTCGAACAGTCCACCTAATATTGTCTATCGTATTTTATTACAGCCTCCTGAAGAAAGATGGATATCTGTTAACTTCCTGTCTCACGAATTTCCTGGTAAAGTATTTCTGTCTCGCTTATTTCTCTATGTGTTTGGACTCTGACCTTATTTTAACACGTTTCCCACAAAATTCTCCAGGTTTATGTTGTATAATATCGCAATCGGTATTTAAAGAACATTTCCAGTTGCGAACGCGTATCGACTTTGTGGCATTCCATAGCGATGGAAGTAACAAGGTCAGAAACAAAACCCGTATGGATTTATGTGATCTTCCGGAAAAACCATTGTTCAGGTGATTCATACTTCTCCGTTTATTCTACCTGTAACAACAAATAGCCCAATACAAATAGTGCGTGTAATAGGCCACGTTTAGGTCACGAGAAAATGACTGTGAATATAAGCCGCGACGGACCAGTCTTCTGGAATCGCCAAGTCGCATATATCTACTGCTGTTCTTGCCATTTCGAAGAACATGAGGTCAGTTTGGTTTGTTTCCTTTTGTTTCTAGTATCGTTAACGAAAACTGATCTAGTTTTCTGTGCTTAGTGAAATATTAACAACAAGTGGAGTCAAATACAAAGCTCTCAGCTCCAACAAATAACATATCTTTTGCTAGGCAGCTGATCCTTCATAAGGCTATGAAGCCAAAGTGTAAACAAGTTTTGACCTTCACACAAGCCACACTCCAATATAGTCATGAAATTCCATAGAACTAATTCTAACTATTAAGGTAATAAATCTGTAAAACGCACATCGCGTTATCTACAGTTCGAAAATCGTTAGACACTAATTTGCCATAAGTTCGTGCATACATTTTGATTCACTAGAAATAAGGAATAATGGCGCGGAGCTCACTACGACACGTCAGGAAATATGCATTAACACTTCCGTACTTCGTGTTTATGTCACATTATTCTGCTCAAAATTAGGTCCTTCTGGAATGTTGAATGACGATATTCTTCACAAAAAACCAATAAGGCGTTGCCACAGTTGTTGTTATTCTGGAGCAAATAATGCACGATTTGTTGTGGGCGCAATTATTCGGCGTATTCGTGCAATCCAGTCAAGCACGAGCAGGCCGGAGAGCCGACGGACATCGTTGTTTTGTCAATTGCACTGCTGCACGAACCAGCGAAACCACATGAAGTTGCGTCCGACGTCCCGAAGACCATCAAGGATTCACAGCCCACGAAATCGAGACTACGCATCAATTCCATGAACCAATCACAATTGTCGTGTTGAAATGCGCTTACTTAAGTATCGTACTTGCTAACATGGTGCGTTAATGTGTCGTCCTTTCCTTCTTCGAGTAGCGTTGATTACCTAATAGTTTTGTGCTGTAATGCAGATGACATTGATCTCTCCATTATTTCCATTTCAAACTGTAGAAAACCAACGAGTACTCTGTTCATAAATTCTCTGTGAAAAAAAGGAATATGTCTTTCATAGGAAAGCGACAACATGGAACAGTGCCTGACGTAAACGCATAACTCTTAATATTACTCAATCTTTTCGGAGAAACAACGCAGAATAGCAGAAGCAAAAGAGAGGAAGGAGAACAAGAGAAGCAGTAAGAGAGGGAAGAAAGAGTATTCCTTGAAATCTCATGCGGATCTACTCCATTTTCCAGAGTATGCGATGGGAATCATAAATGCAATTGCGCAGTTTTGGCGAAGCCATTCAGTTTTGCATTACTCCAGTCCATTTAGTCGTGAGAAACCCGTACTCAAGCTTTTTTTTCTTTTACTAGCATTTACAAATATCTGCCCTTGCTTCGCTATTAAGAAAGCATGTCATCATAGTTCTTTAATGCTTCAACTTGGTATCTAAAGTAGCTTTCAAATATCGGATAGATGCAGCTTTAAAATCGCTTGAAAACCATACCAAGAAGGTTGAAATTTGTGCGCTGATGACAACGGTGCCGCTTGAAAACATTAAAATTTAGGACTCCTCATGCACCCCTGCCGCTTCTCATCTCCCTTTTTTGCTTCTATTTCAGTGTTATACAAAGGGCGAGAACACTTCCCTATAAAAATGACCAAGTTGTCGAGCGTTGTTCGCCTAACATATGACGCTTAAAGAGAAATGAATCCATTTACTGATAGGAAAAATTCCATCCACTTTATTCACTTCTGCACCACTCAGAAACGATACATTATAAAAATCTTTACAGCCTCCGACCTTCTCGTTTGGAAGGTTTTCCTATAATATTTGTAAAAAATAACATTGCTAGAATCATTTTGGCTAGAGTTCAGAAATACGTGGCAAGAAATACCTACTCATTATGTGGTTCATGGATTTGATGGAAGAAAATGTCCCACAGTGCATCATTTATGGTATCTAGGGCATGTAATTGGCACAAAAGATGAAGTATTCTAATTTGCCACTGTTTTGTCTCTAGGGAAGAACCACCGTGGAATCTGTTATCGTTTAGGGACCACTGATGGCCATACTGAACAAGTTTGAACAGAGGGTAGAGCGAATGTGCATAGTCGATCGCCCAGTCGACTATCCGTTTTTGCCCGATTCAATTTTCTCCTATATGGCTAAATGTATGCCGAAACTCCAGGTAACCGTATAAAATAAGTGTTGTGCGGTATTCATAAGCAAGCGAAGTATGTAGTTTCCAGTTCATCTACCTTCGTGAATTAGACCTTGAAAAGATTAACCGCGCCACAGTCGTAGATTTGGCTAATCACACCACACTCAAAAAGGTTTGTATCACTGATTTACGCTTCGAGTAATGCATAGGTACAAAAAAGTTTCTGGTGGAGAGAAATATACAAGTCAAATACTGTGGAAGAATATTCTCCAGAATGTTTCGAGTTAAATGTCCAATATCTAGATCGTTACACGAAGTTTTCGTTAACGTGATTGGCGTGTTCGTATCCTGCAATGTTTTACTAAAATTTTCCTGTTTCTAGGTAATCGTGCATGGATGTAGAAACTATGAAGTGCTCGAAGACTTCCGAAATCTTCCCCAGCTACTTGTTGTTCGAGGCGAAATCGTCGGCTTAAAGGTGAGCGATTCTCGTCATATGTCGCAGCCCGTGTGAGAATGCCGCAATGAACGTGGCGCGTATTGATCCAGTTTCCCTGGTTACTTATGAATACTTTGTGAACATGAGTCTCTCTCAGTTTATTTTATCCGTATACCGCTAGACACAAACTGCTTTCAGGCAATGATTGGCGATTTTGATGAACAGCAAAATAGCTCATCTTCGCAGTCACTACCACAGTCAGCAGCTCAATCTGTCTCGGATAGTAGCGAGCAACCAGAAACGATCAGTGTAGAGGTCGCGACAGGACCCTAACGTTCTATCACTTTCCGAACTATTTCTTGAGACGTGTGCTATCCGCGCTTCTTTTTAGGCTATCGTCTGTTTTTTATGAACAACATCACACTCACTGTAAAGTACTGCGTTCACATTATGCAGTGTTGTATAACAAAAAGCGACACTCTTTATTTAGTTATCTCCAACTTGATTCATTCATTTCCTTCCACTGTTGTTTATATTTAGATTATCCAACGTGGAAATCTTCTACGAACTGCTTTCATTTCTTTCTATTCTTACCATAGACTGTGGATAAGAGGCTCAACTATGTGCGCTTACCTATTACTTGCCTACAATCATGGTTGAAGCTTCCACTCTTTCCGATTTTTTGTTCTTCTATATGATGAGGGACCTACCAACTACAAATTCCTCTGGATTATTTCTGAATTCAGAAGCGCGTCTAGTGGGATTCCACTTCGTCAAGCATTAGTGTAAGGTTGGTAGGGTACCTACGGAGAATAAATAAAACGTTTATTCATGTCTCAATCCTAGTGACAAACTTTCTTCAAGGAATTTAATATCACCACACATATAAAACATATCCAAAGGTATTTCAAACCTACTTTTTACATCGTGTAATTAAAAGGCCTATATGAAAATGAAAAAAGAACTCTTCGTGAAATCGAGTTTCTGTGAGTCACAACAACGAAACACCGCTAGAATAACTGTAGTACTTAAAAAATAAGAGGATTATCATGAAAGGCGAAAAGAAAATACAAACTGAATAGGTTGGGCACTTGAAACATTTGTCTTATCACCAGATTTGAATAAGGATAATTATCAGTGAGGACTAGAATCAATCATATTAAACGTGATTCTTACGGAAGGTGAACAAATTATCACGACGATAGGTGCTCTAGTTGAAGAGCAACGCCCTAACACTTACTAACAAAGGCAGAACTGTAACAGCAGCACTCCAAGCTCCATTGCATGGATCCTTACCCTAAAGTAGCAGTGATACTTGAAGAATCGTTTCGAAAAATTTCATTTGATTGTCGGTTTATTTGCGACCTTTTAAAAGAATTTTTACGTATGCCAAATACCAATATGGGCTCTATACGAAAAAATGGAGTTCTTTGAATTTGATCTTCTTCGATGTAACGAAATCCTATTCGAAGGTGAAACTGTTGGGCGCTTTCATCCACAATGGATAAATAAACAGATTGCACCCAAGAACCACTAGCAGATCGGAAAGGTATTAACCCAAAAAGACTCATGTTGGGTTTTTAATAGCTAGAGTACTTGGGGATCTCCAAACTTTACAGATTTCAGTAGGTAATTTTACGCTGCAGATCTAAAGGTATAAATAGTTGTAAAGCATTAAATTCACGTCAAATTTGTTTGGAATTCAAACACTCGGAAAATCCAGAATTTCGCCGCATCGGGAAACGTTAAGAATGCATTTGCGGAAGACACTGCATGCAGCTGGACTCAATTTCGTTTGTTCAACCGTTTCACTACCAAAATGCGAGCCTCTACGAAAATTACGAAGAAAAATTGTACGCTCGAGAACAAGAAGACCGAATCTCATCACGACAGGACTAAAAAATGATGTATTACTGGAAAAGATTTGTATCGTTTAGTGTGTTTTAATCCAATGAATAGCACACGTAATGAATTGAGGCTTCACGTACAATTCACACTGCTGTAGATGCGTTAGTAAATTCTGACTCTACAAGGAAAAAAGCCACATTTCGAAATTTAACTGCAGAGAGAATTTGAAACTTTTGCAATTTGAAACTCGCAGCAAGGTGCGATCCATGCAAAAGTTTCAAATTCTCTGGAGGTGTGTGATAGAGCTCAATGATAAACGAGACGTGCTGTCGTCGGTGCATAACAAGCCACCCCATTCACCGTTGCTTCACTACCGAACACCTCTGAAGGATGAAAGCTGACTGCTGTTTCTGTCGAGCACGCAGTTCGTTTCACAGAGCGAATTCAGCAGTCAATAATTTGAGCTAGCTGAACGTAAACGTGGCTAAAAAAGTAAACAAAGTTTATTAGGTGGTCCAGCTAGCTAGTCTGACCAAACAAGTAAATTAGAAGATTGCACTATAGGCATTTCAGCTTTCAAGTGTAGTTTGACTTGAAAAATTTGAGCCCTGCAGGACTTTAATTTTGATTTTCTCTAGAATTTTCCTGTAGACTTCAAGCGCTTATTGGGCTTTTATTATGAGAATGACGTAATTTTACACGATTCACGTTCAGTGTTAAGAGACGACCTTACCGACTTTTCATGTCTGGAACTCAACAGAACTCAGATTTTAATATTTGCTAGAAGAATTTGACCTTCGAGTAGCAAAACTTCGAAATTTTTCACCTACTATATTATGGTGCTAGTATGAAACATGACGACTTCAACATAGAGCGAAAAGCAAGTGCATCGTTTAACATACTTAGATACGTGTTGTCAAATTTTGACAACTTTCTAAACAATTATTGTAACGTATGAAGTTTATAAAAATGTAAGTAAAAATGCTTTAACGTTTTACCGTATTTTCGCATTGATAGTAGTACATATTTATGCCCCAGTTGCCGGTTTTCTTCTGTCCGTCCACCACAGCCCCAGAATACGCGCACTCACGTATAATCGACCTTTTACTTTCGACTGTCTGTAATCTGATAACAAGGAAAAAAGAAAAAAGGAAACGCATCTTCACATCCTCTGTCAAATATTTTTTTATAATTGCATTTCAACTACATCAGTATGCATACCTGAATAATCTTCCTGCAACCTTTCGCCTTAGATCCTTTGTACGATCCTTCTTCGAGAACGGGACATGCCTAGATAAAACGAAATTTAAAGATTCGTGTCCTCTAAAATGCAAAAGCCGCTAGCTAGTAAGCTCCTTAAGCTCCATTAACTTTGACTGTTCCCGATGAAATAAGTTTCTCTTTTAATACTTGTTTCATGAATACTACACCATTGGCAGGAAATAGAGGAATCTCAGAATAACCAAATGTGGAATTGTGCACTGGAATTCAAACTAGCTTTACAGTGTTTAAACGATTAAGTTTGTAGTTTCTCTGAAAGCAATATGGCTTAAACAAAAATCTTAGGGAAAGAGTTCGAGATAATCGATCATAGTACCCAACTAATGGGAGATTCACTTGCCTTAATAAATGGCTTCAACTTCTCCAAATCGCTTTTATCACAATCTTCCTGATCATCGCTCGATGAGACACACTGGTAGCACAAATATTCTGCACTAAACGCAGTAGAACCTATCAAATGCGTCGTTAAATCACAAAGCAATTAGAAAGAAAGTGAGAAACTCACGGAGTCGGCAACCTCAACAGAACATGTACAGTTTCTATTAACTCCGACAATAATTCCAGATTCCCATTTTTATCGTTTTGAACTTCTAATAAAACCTGTTAGACATACTCGTTACAAGCTGTGATGGTATTTCAGACAACCACTTATTACCAATGGGAACATTGGACCACCCATCAATATTCGCAGCAAATGTTGTGTGCTCATCTCAACGAGAACGATTGTTAGGCATGCTGACGTTAAAGCGTCCGCCGTTCAAGATGATAAACTGAAATATCAATCATTTTAGAGCTTTTCTAGAGGCATGCCACTTATCACCAATCTCCTTTCTCTTCTAAATGACAACAGTCTCTCTAGCAGCCGTTCTTTGCATGAGCAATAGTCCTTCGTCCGTGAAATGAATTCGACCAAAGAGCGGTTCCCTGGTTCTTTGCATGGAAATTATTACCTATACAGAATGGGTCTGCAGACCCGATACCCAAGACTACGACCTACGTTCAATGAGCTATCGACTGATTACAAAAACTGCATTAAAAGCATTTAAAATAAACAAGCGCATAGAAAACGAGATGACATTCACTCACGACGACATCGAGCCAAATGTGAGTGAAAGTGCACTTTGTCTAATAGGGAAGCATACTATCCCAGAAATAGTAGAATGTTTCAGGACAAGCACAGCGTTTAAATGTCGTATAATATAGTTAACTTTATTTAAAAAAAAAGGTTATTGATGCATTCATAGACACATCAAATTTTGCAGCGCGAGTCTACCCCTAATTTTTCCACACGGGTGGGATGCATTAAATTCAGTGCACAGAATCCGTTATGTCCTATTCCGCCTCTTCCTTGTAACCTTCTCAGTAACTTTTATTTTATTTTCTACCGGCACTCTACGTTCTTCTATGCATCTCCCTGTTTTGGACATTTCTGACACCTTTATTTGATGAAAGAAGTTTCGTCCATCGTCCAACCACGATGCCGTCGGTTTTTGATAGGCAAATTAACAAATCTCACACATATCTCGGCATATTTATAGATCCTCTATTTTCAGCCATATGTGAGTAGGAAGGAGTTAAGCATCAGTAACGTTCTAAACAAAAGACTGCGTGAAAGCACGGTGATGAGCGAGCACCCTGTATGTCCTCGAAATGCCTCCGTACACTCCTCAACAGCAGTCGTCCATATGGTTGTGATAAACCGTCTTCGTGAACACCTTTCTCCGGAAATAGTGTTCACGCCGAAAGAACAAACTCATACGAATGGCGTTCTGCAAATTAATACGCGCAGGGAATACCTTTTCACGGATCACCAACTGAACCACATCTGTGTTCTACAAGCGAATGAGAGCACGTGAAAAGGGTAGAAAAATCTCTGCGTGGAAGAATGTAAAGAAAACCCGAAGAAAGTCCACGGAAATCAAGACATAAATTTGATATTTCATCTGTGGATTGATATCAGTGCATATGGTAGCGAATTTTTATGATACGTCAGACAGGCCCGAACTCATTAAAAATTAACAAGGTTTAAGTAAAAAGAAATAAGCAGCTCCAATTTTTATTCAATTTCAGTTGCCAAGCATAAGATTCCATATAACTAGCCGAATATAAAAATTTTCCAAATACTCATTGTCCAGAATTCTTTGATCTAAACACGTTTAAAAAGGACATTTTTGCACGTCAAAAGTAATATGTCAGGAATCGAGCAACAGATTCACTATGTTTCCGACGCAAATAAGTTGAAATTTCGTTTGTTCAGTAACCCTATTCCATCTTAAGTACAACTTTGAGAAGTGCGCTAGCGATAGGTTTAACTAATACGAAAAAGAAATTGTGTACCGAATATAAGTGACTCCCAGCAAGAAGACAAGCGCGACGATGGAAACGAGTTTCATTGCAACTGAAAACATGGAAGGTGTTGGTGATGAGACACAAAAACAATGAAATATTAGACCAGCAGAATAAATTAGCACGAAAGTAATTCAGAAAAGCGACGATTCCTGGAATCAATAATGTTACTGATACCATAAAACTTTATTTCTTTAAAACTTTAACATGAAACATACGATCAAATACTTCAGTAAAAGATGCGCCTCAGCGGAAAAGTCAACATTTCAGAGCGGATTTCAGAGTCCGAATGTCGCAAGAGTGAAGCACATAGGAGCGAAATATCACGGAGCGAACAACAAGATTCCGAAAAATTCCAGACAACTGCCGTTGCCCAGAATAATCAGTATGCTTCGATGGTGAGTTGCCGTGAGCAAACGAAAAGCCCAACACTAAAGAAAATGAGCAGAAGTATAAACAACTAAGCCGCATAGAGAACAATAGGGATATACGAACAAAACATTTAAAACATAACTGAGAGCGCTTTAACATATAACTGATAACAGACAGCTTAAAAAGTCATTGAATGCAATCTCTAGGGAAACGATGTTAAAACAACGAATGCCACAAAAGTTATAGCTGCACTAGCTTTTCAAAAGATAACGTGAAAACTAGGTCTGAAGAAAAGTTATTTAAACAAGATGAACAGAATACGAAAAAAAAGACGAAAAATGGATTTTAGGAAAACTATTTTTGAACAAAATTGATGAGATGAGTCGTTAAAAACTGAAATAAACGTGAAAAAATAATGATAGTGCTTAATGGCTGAAGAACGACAATGGCTATCTCGTCAAGGCAACTCCTTATGGAAACACAAGTGGTAATGATGAGAAGTGAATCCAAGAACAATAGACGTTTTATGAAGAAGAGCTGTAAAAAAGCCCTTTATTCGAACAACGACTTCGTTGGTATACAACGCAGTAGTAATACGAAAGTAAAACACAAATCCTCCAAGTACATTTTAAAACCTCCACACAGAGCCAATCGTTGTGCCGCCGGTTGCAAAGAGATTTCCTCGGCATCAGATCTGAGTTCTATTGCGTTTGGCTTAGTGAGTTGTTCGCTATTTTCCTATGAGAAAGCCTAGACTTCTGTAGACACTACTCCACCCAAGACATTTCAAGGAAGGCTGTAATATCAGATGAACTTCGCGCACATCGTACCAACGCACTCAACTCGATGAAAGCTTCGGCCGGCGGGTATCGATCGGCAGCGAGGGAAGCGGCGAGTAGCACATGGCCCATTCAGGCCACGTGCCACTCAGATCTTAGCGATGCCGTCGTACAAATGCTGAGAGACGTCATTAGTACTTAATGTGCAAAATGTGACTGCCTTAGAAACTATTACTTATCACATTCTTTCGTTTTCTTTCACAACGAATCCATTACCGTATCTTTCTAGAAATTTCGAAAATGTCAGTAAAACAACGTTGATGAACTGAATGAGGAGGAAGGAAAAAGAACGAGGAAAGCAATCTATCCAAATGTATCCCTACGTTTTGTACTATCAATAACATATTATAGAAAGAACTCTGGAGATATATTCTCTATCTTAACTTTTTTTTTAACATGGTTGAATACTGCTTATTCACTCATATCTGCTCCTGACAGCTGCACGAGTATTTTAGAGCTAGTAAACAAGGACGTAGATATAGTATGCATGGCGTAATAGAACTAGCTGAGAGACAGGCGAAACGAAGGACCCACATGGTGTGGTGGTGAACACGTTAGCTCCCGGAAAGGGTAATACCGTGTTCGTTCCCCATCGCAGACACCTGCGGTCTGGAACTTTGCAAATATCTCAGTAACGTTGTAGTTGTATTTCGCTTAATACCCTACCATAAAACTGTAGTAGGCAGAAAATAAAAAGTAAAACATTGTGCTTTCAACTTCAGCCTCAGCTTAACTGGGTTCAATGCCGATGTGGGCTACCCAGAACAAACCCGTTGACGGATGATTGCTGATGGCACTGATCGATAAAACCAACTGAGAGACACGCGAAACAAAGGACCCGAATGGCGTGGGTGGTGAACACGTTAGCTCCCGCCCGGAAAAGGCAATAGCGCGTTCGCTCCCTACCGTAGATACCTGCGGTCCGGAGTTTTGCAAATATCTCAGCAACGTTGTGGTTGTATTTTATGGTGCAATTTGTATAAAATATAAGATAGGCGAACGCGAAAGTTATGATACCTATCGGGCCTACGAATGACAAAAAAAGACACTGACCGCACCAGAAACTCATAATCCTCAATGCTCATTACAGTGAAAACGAAGGTGTGAAAACAATGGCTAAAAATTCTACCGCATGATGTCCTCAAGACAGCAATAAAGCGTTAAGCGTTCGTCGTTGATCAATCTTTATGGGATGCGGTAAGCACTCGACCACATCAAGCATAGTAAAGGTGATTGATCTGACCTGTATAACACCTCGGAGTGGCCTATGGCCGTTTCAAGTCGGTGCTGTTATCCTTCCAGACAAATCTGGTACTAATTTGCTCACCCCGGACTGATGTAGGGCTTGGTGGGCCTAGAAATATCGATGGAAAAAGGCTTATCTGCTTTACAACATATCGATACAACCTATGACCACGAAGTCAGTGGACATATGCTCCCATAAGGTGAACAGTAGGCAGAATACCCTTATTACCAAGTACTATAATATGGAGAATACCCTATTATCAAGTTCCTTAGTACGGAGAATGCTACTGTGACCAAGTGGCAAGTGGGCAGATGCTCCCACAAAAAGCCCAAGAGCACGAAGAGCCGGGTTACTGCCAACCGCCATATTACGCAGAATACAACTATTACCCGCCACAGTAAGGAGAATACAACTATGACCAACTGATGAACGGACAGATGTCTCAAGATTTTCATTATCAACAGACGAGCAAGCAGATGTCTCCAAATGTTGTGTCACAGCACGTAGATTCTACGAATGAGAGCAATATGACATAACAATATCATCATGATCATGGTAGTATAGATAAAACCACCTTTCGAAATTCACAAATGACCGCCAGCTAGAGAAAGCGCGAACTCCGTAAGCAATTTCACACCTAGTCCGTACTTAATTTTTCAGCTTACGTCAGATTCTACAGATTTAGAGTTCTCTTTCCAGAAGATCGCACACTTCGAACAAAATAACCTTAACATTGTTGAGTTTGCTTCTACATAAAACAATTCGAACAACTATATCCCTTATAAGGATAGTCGCGATTCTCATTACATTACGATTTATGTGAAACCGTCCCTTTCCTATAAAAAAGAAACACAAACACCTATGAGACGCCCAATTCAGGAATACTGAAATAACTTATGCAAACTTACTGCAGATTTTCTGATAAGAACTGAAGCATTATGCTACGAACTGGAGCAAATTTGCCCTTTTCACGAGCGAATGACGTACGTATTCAAATACCCCGGTCAGCTATTCTGCTGTATCGCTCAGATGGCAGCAAGTAATAAAAAACCGAGTTACTCACTGTCGATGGAACATGACAGAAACAGTTTGGTAGACATAATCCTTTGAGTTATAAATAAAAATCTAAGCATACACTAGGATTCAAATAACTGAGGTAGTAACCTCACCGCTACTAGTGCTGATTCACTTGATGAAGTCAGTGAAGGTTATGATCAACTTTACAATACTTTTACTTAGTTTACATAGACATAGACAAATAAGTCTGGATATCACACTAACAAGTGAAATATAATAGCGGTAATAAAAGTATAAGTAAAATAAGCCATAGTTACTATGACACTGAAATCTCGATCATCAGAGTCTTCGTCTCCTAGTGCGAAGTGCCTTGGAGTGAAGTCAGTAGCTGATCACACATTTTTTTCGCATCACCCAGAAGCATTGCTGTATTATCGTTGAAAAATACAGGATTATCAACTGCCGCGTAGCCCACTCCGAGTGTTCGCTTCATAATCACCACCTATAAAGAATAAGCATAACAATTTTTTGATTCTGAAACGAAATTCCGACCAATTGGTGGTATGGCCATTTTACAGCCTTTACAGAATACTGCAGAATAAGTAGTAATCGCGACTAGCCGAATTTGCACTTGTGATTTTGTACGCGTTTGTATGTGCACATCTGTGAAACGCATGAATAAACTGCCAAAATTAGAAACATCAAAGAAGCAGGGTCCTTCACCATATCCTGCCATTATTACGTAAATTGCCACACATTCTTGCTTAACGAACTACCATTTCATTTGCAGTGAAATGGTCTTAGGCATCTAACTGGGATGCAATACTAAAGTTCGTTCCTAACTATGCTATCCATGATTACAAAAAACTCCTTGTAAACAAGCAATAGATGAAAACTGTAAAAAAATTTTCATCGCCTAAGCAACCACTATTTTCTCTCTTTGATTTATGAAATCCATCTAATTGTAGTAAAGGATAAAGGATAAAGCTCTCTGCGCTGACCAATGAGGGATGCGCCATGAATTCAACTTTATTAAATATCGTTGACCAATCCCTGAGAAATGCGCCATGCATGCGACTGCATTGATCATCGTTGGAGTGATTGAATGCATATCTTGCCTTTACAATGACTCGTGGTGGCTTACCGATATATCGAGCCAGTGCTGCTATCCTCCCAGACAAGTCTGGGACCAATTTGCCGACCCCGAAGGGATGGAAGGCTTGCTGGGCCATGGACGCGGGGATCGATTCCACGTGTGTGTCGCAATGGCGCCCCCAACCACTGCGCCACACACGCCCTTGCAGCAAGCAACCACCAAATAACTTATGCGCTTGGATGGAAACGTAGCTAGATCGATATAGTGAAACTTTTTCTTCCATGCTAAACTTCAGTCTTTTTACGTATTCACTGGTACATCCATGCACCTCACATGTGAGTATGCTCGAAAATGTATTTGTGCGGAGTTAAATATTAATTTAACCGTTTGATGGGAGAAATCTACTTTGCTTTACTGGTTCAGCACATTTTTTCTTCTCAGTTCCGAAATAGAATTCCCATAACATTGTTAGATCATCACTGCAAGCAGTCGCCAACCGCTGCGAACCGGATTGAAGTTTGTCACTAGGTTTCATCTTTGATGGCAGCAAATCCTGCCGTAGGCCTTCTCTAAGTTTGGCTTCTAAAATGAAATGTCAAACTGTGGACATGCCTAAGAATGAACTGCCATTTGTGCACCTTATGACTAGATAAGAAAGCAACAAGTAGACAGCACTAAATCAAGTTGAAGCCACAAGTGGGGGGTAACGAAAAGCACCTGCTGCGGACTTCAGTGTACTGACAAAGAATATTAATTATATACTAACTGTGGTGTCGATAGATTGACTGAAAAAAGGACGTCTCTTACGTAAGAAGTCTAAGAATATGTGTGAAATTCATTTTTTTTTTTTACAACAGCGAAAGAGTCACGTTAATGATGCTGGTGAAAAACAAAGAATTGTTAGAACTCTTCACTAACCGTACCAGACGTCTACCGGCAAAACATCTTTCATCCGTATACGATTAACCTATGCTTATCACCTACATTGCAACAACTCCCCGAGACACGAAATAGACGTATCCAGTAGCGGAAATCCTAGATTTAAACAAAATGTCTGTGGAGTTCGAGACCGATAATTACTATGTAATGTAGCAACGGCTAAAGTACGAAATTACCATGTCCATTAAATCAGCAATAAATCTAAATCGAATTTCCCAAAAAACATGTACCCCTCCAAAATTCTACATAAAACCGGATCAACGCCTATCAGATGTGGTAAGCGATTCACGACAAAACATGGTAGAAGCAAAGTATGAGAGACGAAATACCAATAATCCGCAAGCCGCAATTATTCGCATTCTCATTAGGCTTTCTGGAAATTGTTGTAATGGATAGGAACAACGACGAACGTAAAAATCCGTGTAGAGTCATATCGAGATCATCGTTACATTCAAGAGAATGGAAAGCATGAAAGACTGTTAGCAGATGGGAACTTGCGACTTGATTACAGAGCGTGTCTGAATAACAGGTATACAAGCCATTGTCAACCTAATTTCGCAAGTTGCACGTCTCACCTTTACAAAGCAATTTTGCGGGTGGACTGCTGTTTTCGCTATTCAGGATCTATATACATCTTCTATATGCATATAGATATAGAATCGTACATGCATATATATGTGCCATATGTGGATTGCATCCTTATTCCATCATTACGTCCATGCGGCCAAAAGTCACATCTAATCTATAGTAACCAAACAAGTTGGGCATAAGCATGAGTATGCGCAGTCAAAAATGGCAGAATCAGCAAAGAGCTTCATTTTCGACTAAGAAAAAACAATAGCTATGATGACATAAAGTGGAACCATTATGGAGAGATTGTTACAATCACAAGATCGTTCTAAGCTATACAAATACATTGGACTACGTGGGAGAATTGTATAAAACATGCACTTTAACATCGGAATCATTCAACACCTGGTTATCCAAGCAAATAATGAACAATAAGACAAAGTCGAACTGTCCCGGGTTAGAAGACGCTGCTCACTTAATGCCTTTTGTGTGAACGAAGAATAACCGTTCAGTGAAACATCTAGGGTTGTATCAGTTGTTAGAGTATGGCTCATCGAGATGCTCAACTGACGAACATCCGGTTCAACGCAAGATGAAGACGCCACATAAAGAGAAACAACTGTAGGTCATCGACAGAGATCGTGGGACCTAATGAAGACGAAGATGTCGAAACGTTAGCCGAATAAACATCTCATATCAACCTCGTGTAATCTCAACAATATAGAGAAATGTTGATTATTTCAGTTGTTAGAGTTCGTATTCTCTTCAACACCGCAACTCATGACACGCGTAAGAAGTTCAATTTAAGACGATGTGAAGCAATGTCGATATTGGGAACTTCCGCTGTTATTGTTCCGACAACAAACGACAATAAAGATGACGTCAACACATTTTACGATGAGGTGGAATAGTTATAGAAGGGAGAACACATATTAAGGCGGCTTCAATGCCAAAACTTGCTTCAGAAGAATAAATGGTAAACCAGCATTAAGATCAATGAACTGGAATGGAACAGAGTGATAGGACACCTAGGTTTACCCAGCGGTAATTGCATAAGCTTTGCTCTCACGTTAGAAGTGGGAGTTTAGTAATACAGAATATAAGAATAAAGTATACGACGTCAGAATAAATCGATGTTTCAACCTAACACCTCATGCGGAAACCAAACGCTGCACAAAAGAATGCTTCACCGTTTTAGTCACAAGTGGTTTATTTTTTGTGCAGAAAAAAAGCAAACCACGAAATTAGAGAAAAGAAATTCTCAAAATGTGTGAACTACAACCTGGCCTTTCTGTAGACGGCTTTCTGGAAGTTACTGTTGTCGATGACAACACCGACGAAGAATGCAACTGATTCAGCCAAGAAACCAATTATAATACTAAAAAAGAGCGAGTGATTGAAACAAGAGCATTCACAACTACCGACGGCACTTCGTCAAATACAAAAATATGACGAAACTGCCCAATTTTTGTCGTCTGCATCCTCATAACTCCAGAATACCATTCCTCCTATTTCAAAGCAGGTATCGGAAACCTGGACTCCAGGTAAGCAGAGCGCAATAGTAATCGACGCTGTTGAACGCGTTATGTAAGTGATCCTAGGAGTCCTAGATCTCCAGTTTAAGTTCAAACTCACATCGATAAATTTTGTGAGATGGACACGCGAACCGTGTTCACGACAAACGAAGAGCTATTAATGATCCCATGTGATAATAAGTGCAGGAAAAGAAGAGGATCGTCCCAATGGTCAAATATCCACAGATCAATGTCCTATGGAATTGCTGATCTATCCTGTTTCTTACCTCAATTCCCTCCTTCTCTACTCATTAATGTATTGCAGTAGCGAATCATCATTTACTAGTAATCTCTACACATTTGAAAATCCTAGCAATTGTTTCTCTCTCCTATATTCTGTTCATCAAACCTGAAGCGATTCTCGCCTCCCTTGTGATTAATGTTTTAGAAAAGCGATTCTTTAATTTTTTTTACCTTTACACATTTTGCGGTAGCATGATTGACTTACTGCTAACCGTACCCATTGTGGTTAATCTCGTAAAGAAATAAAAAAAAATCACACGTAGGAATACCGAAAAGTTTACTTTACCCTCATGATCCATTTTTACAGTGAGAGCTTAGTCGTCATATACAAAGTAAGCAATGGCGTTTGAAAAGGATAAATAATCCCACAATATCTTTGCAGCTCTCCAAGTGATACCTGGACACTGGAAGATGTAAGGAAAGACTGGCGCAACAACAACTACATTGCTGGCATACCGCTAATCGCACGCAACACTAGCTAATCAGAACAAATGTTAACGTCTCGAGATCATCCGATCCGTGTGCGAGCTTACTTCTCTACCTGTTTGAATCAAAAAACACTGACATTATGCAAGCAGAATGACGGCATTGATATCACCAAACATTTTGTTTACAGAACGGCGTTAAGAACATGAATATTTGCAAATCTCCGACCTCTACCTATGCAGTAAAATAGCAATAACTAAAATTAAACCCCAAAATGGGAGTGGATTCAAAGGGATGCCTCAAACATAAGTCAGCATGGCCTGAAGGAAAAATTTACGTGGCCTCATTAGCAATATGCAGAAAAATCTGACGCTTTCATTTGAGTTTCGAAATCAACATAAAAGTACATTGGTGGAAAGCATTTAATTTCCTTTCTCTCTGATTTAAAATTGGAGATACGCTGGTATTTTTAAAGACACATGAATAACTAACACATTCTCAAAGATATCCGATCGGTTTGCCACATTGTGCACGTGCGCTCGGTGGACTAATAGTAGGACTGGTTGCCATTACAGTAATTACTGTCGTCCTGATAGAAATCGGGTCGCAAGGGAGCAAATTCCTTCCTCATCCATAATAGTCAGCAAATCCCGTTGTGCCAATCTAAGAACGACTTAGCCAGGCAACCTTTGATTTCCAGGGAAAATCGATTAACATCAGCACTTAACAGATTAATGAGGGAAGACAACACAGCCAAAAGGTAAAGTCGAAGCCACATGTGAGCTCGACTACTCCTGTGAATGAGGGTTAACAAAGAAAAACAGACGAAGTGAAGAAGCACTGAAACCTTCTTGACATGCGAAAACGGATGATGCAGATATTAAAGTTTCAGATTAGCACCCACACTCAAAACATAGGTCTAAACAGAAGAGAAGATTATAAACGCACAGATATCGAATAGAAATCAAGCAAAAAAAACAATGAATAAAGAATATCCTGAAAATATAGCAAGGTCAAAAGTCAGAAACAGTAAGTACCGTACCTTTTTCGCACGCCACACTCGTAACACTGGCATGCCTGCGATTGAACTGTTCGGATCGTCTTCGGCAGCTGAGTTCACAGTGTCATTCGCTCCTAAGATAACAAATCAAATTCAACAGTCGAATCGGATCAAAATGGTCTTCCAACAGCATTTTTTCGCTAGTTAAATTATCTAATCTGGATTTGATTCTGCTCGCTTTTGATAGTGCATTTTCGCATTTTTCCGCACATCGGCTTCAGTAGAATGTTAGGAATATTATCTTATACCCAAGAGAAATCGACCTACTATGCGAACGTCCAGTATGTGTACTACCGGAGAAAACCACATTCAAAGCAGTTTCTGCTGTTCTTTGACTGTGAAACGGGAAAACTCACCTATGACTAAGACCACGTCGGTGGAATCGAAATCATTATTGATGTCATCCATTTCCTCCACTATATCATACGGCACTCCAGCTTCAGCAAGTAGTACATTAAGCTGTCCTGGCATGCGACCTAACAGAAACATCATTAGTATCACGAAACAGGATTTTGGTAAGACGAGGTGTTATGTGCATTCTAGGGAATTCAAAAATTATATCGATTCCGCTTATATTAAAGTAACTCTTAAAAATCAAAGTAGATCTCTTTCACAACAAAACGAATAGCTTATTTAAAAAGTAACTTTCGAAGTAGTCGAAGCAGGCCTAAATGGGCCTTCTCTTTTTTCTCAATTTTTCAAAACACAACTCAATTTATGTATTTGAATATTTCATGACTAAGATACAGGTCATTCAAATACCCACGCATCTAGTTTCATGAGTCACTAGGTCTAAGATAGCCTTGTCTTTAAAAACTCGTCAACAGGCATCTAAACTGATTTCAGAATTATTATGAAAGACTCGAAACGATTATGAACGCAAACGTTAATCATATCAATAGTAAAAATATGACGCAATATATGGATAATATTAAACCCTATTTAGGTAAATTCAAACGTATGTTAAAGGATAAAAGGATAAAGCTCTCGATGTTGATCAATCCCTGAAAAATGCGCCAAACATTCAACTTCATGAAGCAATGTTCGGAGGTGATTGAATGCATATCTGTTCTTTGCAATGACTCGCGGTAGCCTACCGATGTACCGAGCCAGTGCTGCTATCCTCGCAGACAAGTCTGGTACTAACTTGCCGACATCGGAGAGATGGAAAGCTTGGTGGGCCTGGGAAGTGGAGAACGATCCCATGTGCGTATTACAGGGTGCCTCCGACTACTGCGCTACAAAGGTCTGTTATGTTTATAAATACACTGTATTCATACAGATCTCCAATGCATGAAAAAGTGTAATCGTTTACCTGCGAACGATAAATAGTGTAAGGGTGGACGAACACAATAAAACAGCATAAAAGTGAAAAAAAACTATTAATGTACGAACCAGCAACAGGGTGAACGGCAAAGCGAACCCGAATTCCTCGGCTACTGAGTTCTTTGACCAGTTGAGCGATAGGATACTGGGCCTGGGCAGCACACAATCCGTAGCCAGGCACGATTATCACCGAATTCGCATTCGTAAGCCAATCAATCGTCTGAGTCAACAAGTTTTAATGCAATCAACATCCATATGTTCTGGTGATGGTGGGTAACATTTATAAAAGAAAAAGATAACAGAAGACTAAAAAGAGAACCAAACTACAGATTCGGTTAGAAATGAATCTGCTCTCAAAACACCATACTTTCGCATATTACAGAGATTTATCTTAAGTTTTAGTGCACTTCTGCACTGAAATAGTTCCAAAACGACAATTATCATAATCAAAGAGTTCTGGACCACTTAATTGTATTTGCATCCATTTTTGAAGCTTTAGCACGAATTTACTGATTAGAATGCATGTATGAACTAAAAAATTACCTCTGAAACATTCGTCAATGTAGCGGTACCCTCAATTGCTTTCGCTTCACCACTCCCTTGTGATTTTGTACCTACACCTCCAAGAATGACACTAATTAGTGAGCGATTCATAGCCTAAAATTTCAAACCTATATGACAGCAGGAGCAACTTTTTGTGGATATAACTTCTGCGCCCATATAGCCCCACCATGTAGCGATCATCAGCGTGATATTTGGCATATTTACAGGAGAACAGGGATGCTGTTCGTGTGTTTTGACAAAAAAGAATGCGCTGAACAGCTTAAACATGTAACGGGAGAAGTGAGGACGCTGATGGCCCTTGCTTAAATATCTCGCTAATTAACAAAAATACAGTTAAAGTGGATAAATTTCAGCATAACAAATAAACACACCTTACACATTATATAGGAAAGGATTGCTCCGGAACTTCCTATCAACGCACCAACGATAGTGAGTAAGTTGTTGTTGAGCATGAAACCCTCTGCACACAAAGCCCATCCTGAGTAGCTATTGAGAATAGTGATCACAACCGGCATGTCTGCACCTAAACTATGCAAACTTTCTAATCAATTTGCCAAAACAAATACATAACTATTGCAAATAAAAAAAATACTACACATTTGTAGAACATTTCATTAACGCATAATCCGCAACCTTGCGTACGCTACAATAAACATTCTAAGCTCGCCATATATATATATATAT